GCTATCATGGCCCTTGTCTGGCTCCCCAGACCTCTCAGAAACAACAGAAATCCATTTCTCACCATTTGGCAAATAAGCTCATGATTGGTGGCATCTAGACTTTGATCTCAGGTTTTTAGCACAATACTGCCTTTGAGAAAAACAGATCACAGTGCACAAACACTTTCTAAATTTTGGGTTATTTGCTGACGTACTTTTGGTCAAAGCAAGTGATACGGACAGTTACAGAGTGATCATGAAGGAAGACAGGTGGGAGCTTGACTAGTGAGGCACCAGGGGCCATTACAATACTCTTATCTCCAGTAAGATTACCAAACTGTGTATGGCTGATTGTCAGTCAGAACTATGGAGTTAGCTGAGTTTGATGTTATTTTAATAGTAAGTCTTTAGTTTTTCCCAACCCCACAAGGTGCTCCAAAGTGCCTTGTTTCCCTGATCCATCTATTTTCATCTTTGGGGTAAAGTAATACTTTAGGAAATCCTGTGGTATTTAGGTTTTTATCTTTTTCTTGTATTATCATTTTGGAACAATTCAGTGCTCTTAGACTACAGGCTTCACAAAGACCAATCTGCTCAGTTCATTTCTTTTCTCAATTTTGAGTCTTGCCTTAACCTATTCCTGTTACCATCCTTCGTATGTAGTAGATACTTAATAAACATTTGCTAACTCAGTATTCTTCCACAGTAGTTTTTAACATAGCTAATATGCTGTGATTGAATGGTTGGAGATCTCTTTGCCCTTGTGTCTGGTTCCAAGTTCATGGCTGTTTTCCTACGGCTCCATTTTCTTCCTTTGGAATCCTACTTGTCAGTTTTGCTGATGATGTCCGCTTCTCCCCACCATAGCTTCAGCTTTACTTTTGTTTGTTTTTATGTTTTAAATTTCCAGATTCTGTTTTGAGGTTGGTGTTGAGCAAAAGTAGTTATTTTAAAACTTCTTTATTGAGATCACATCAAAATTCTAAGAATTCAACCAAATATTTTGTATTTTTCACTTTTCTGCTTTTTATACTGCATAGAGTAAAATTTCATTCCTAACAATGTTGAGTTTATTTCATGTGGAATCGTCAAGCAAAGTATCAGTGTCAAAATCAAAACATGCAATTTTTTTTCTTTTCTAGATTTTTTAAATTTAAATTAGAAACAGTTTTATGTATCAATCCCAGTTCCCTCTCCCTCCCATCCTCCCATGCTCCCCACAACCCTCCATTCCATCCCCCTTGTGCTCCCCAAGGAGGGTGAGGCCTTCCATGGGGGAATCCTCAAAGTCTGTCACATCATTTGGGATAGGGCCTAGGCCCTCCCCCATAAAACATGCATTTTTTAATTAAGTATTTGTTTGTGAACAGAGTATGGCTAGACTGTAAATACAGGTTTGCAAAAGTATTTCAGGTGCTATGGGAAATTATAATATTTTACCAAGTAAAAAAAATCAGTATGGAAAGTTATCTATCTTGGATTGAGAACTGTGATATAACAAGTAGTAGCTACACAAGAAAGTTCTGGAGAGGCATAAGGAAGATCATGCAGGCAATGGTGGCAGCCTGTAAAGCCAGCCTTGGAGTGTGACAGTGTATACCTCCCAGGATATACCTCCCCCTCAATGCCTCTGACACTGACATTCTGAGAGGGCGGGCGGGTAGGCATGGCTGAGTCTCAGTGCTGATTAGTCTGTCGTGCACAAGCTCGGTAACCATCATCATAGTACACTTGTCTCCTGTTTAACAGCTTCATGGTTTTTATTGGACTATTAAGAAATGGATTTCTGTTCCAAAGCACTTGTCCCTAGGTTGTTTTTCGTTAAAACCTTCTTGATTATAAAAGACAAGAGCAATACAGTTGATTGAGTTCAGTGGCTTTAAAGGAATGGTAGGAATGTTTGTGCAAATTTAATTAAGCCACTGTCAATCTAATTTAAGGAATACTTGGTGATTTATCTTATTGTCTGAAATGTATATATTAATGTTTTATGTCCAAGCTGTTTGTGCATATACTGTAGTTATTGTAAATTATTCCAGAAAGGCTTTATAAAATGCTATAATGTGTCTTTTCAACCTTTGACAGTTTAAAGTAGAAAATGGAGTGGATAAATTGATACTTATAGCACATTTTTAAAAATATTTCTGAAAATTGCTTATTGTTGGCTCTTCCTTAGTTTTATATAGTGTGAAACTCTGTGTGGAAAATTATAACATAGTTAAGTCTTCATTGCATAAGCAGATGTTTTAAGTTTTGTCAGTATTTAAACTTTTGTTATTATTTTCTTTGTGTTTGCATACACATCCAGATGATGTTCTGCAGTATTAGTATTGACGCTTCAGTAAAGGGTTCTGAAGTAGATTTCAGCTTCAGTTGCTGGTTATTTCTTGTCCCGCCAGGTCCTTTTCAACCCCAAATAAATACAAAGACTTTAAATTAATTATAAAACTGTTGGTTGATGGCTGGGGCTTCCTATTGGCTAGCTCTGTCTTAATTCTCAACCCCTAACTACTCATCTATGTATTTCTACATGGCCTTATCTTACTCCTGGTTCGTCCTATCCTCCTGGTCTCTACATGGCATTCTCTCATGGCCTCCCTCTGCCTACCTTTTCCTAGAATTCTCCTCGACTCCTAGCCCTGCCTATCTTCCTGCCTCTATTAGCCAAACAGTGTTTTATTCATCAACCAGTAAGAGAAACATATATACAGGACATCCCCCATCAAACCTCTAGGAAGAAGATTCTTTTTTAGTTTTCTAATACTTTTTGGTACCAGATAAAATAGAAAGATTGTCAAATGTCTTAGTATCCTGTTTTGTTTGTTTGTTTTGTGTCCCCCCCAACCCCCCCCACCAGAAATATGTCTGGGCAGCACTACATCAAAGGGCTATAACCTCTATAAATTTTCATTAGAATACAAATTCTAGTATTTTTTTCTTTGGTTTGGGTTTTGTTTTTCATACACACACACAAACACACACACACACACACACACACACACACCCCCCCCCCCACCCCCCCCCCCCCCC